GCAATGGACATCACCGGCCCGTTTCCCAAGCACAAGACCGGCATGGATAGGATTCTTACAGTGGTCTTGACTCACCAAATTCGCCATGTTTTTGCCTTGTCGCTATCACACCAAGGCACCGGAGTTGGCTGAGGTTCTTTACGCCGGTTGGATTTGTACCAAGGGTTACCCCAAGGAGATCGTTTGCGACCGCGACACTCGGTTCATGTTCGGCTTTTGGTTGGCTTTCATCAAACGATGGGGCTCATCTCTCAAGCCGAGTTTGGCTCACCACCCACAAACTGATGGCCAAATGGAGAGGGCGCATCAAACTGCACAAGTTCTTCTTTGCATTCCCATCCGTCCCGACCAAAAGGATTGGATTGAGCGTCTGCCGGACATTGACTTGACTTACAACTCGTCCATTCATCCGGCTATCGGGATGTCAGCACATCGCCGCTGGTGACACACCCGAAGAACCTTCATTTGTCATTCAGGTGCCCGCTCGAGCCCGCTTGCCCGTCCACCCGGTCTTTCATTGTTCAAAGTTTTGGCTCCTTTCCTATCGGCGGAACGCGACGATTTTCCCGGGTGATGATCGCAAGACCCACCCTCCATGGACGGTTTTAAGAAGGTTAGCGACATCATTTCACAGCGGCGCTACGACACCAAGCCGGCGGAGTACTTAGTACACTTTTCCTACTGTAGCCATAAGGCTAACCGTAGGTTGACCTGTGTGGAACTTCAGGCTACGGCCCCCGATGTCGTCGTACATTACGAACACAAACAGCAAGGCAAGCCGGCACCTTCGGCTCCACGCTGTACTCGTGCCCAGGTTCCACCATCAGATCATTAGCTTCGCCGTCAACCCGGCTTGACTTCATAAGGAGGGGGGGTGTTACATGAGGAGCTTGTACACGGGCCCCGTTTCGGGGGCCGACGGTTGCTGGGGGCCCCCAGGCCGCACGCCACTTAGGCATGCGCCCTGGAGGCCCACGGTCGACCTTAGGGCCACAGGATTCGATGTGAGGCAGCATTCATTTAATTATTTTCAGCCCTATTTTTGTCTGTTCAGGCATCGTTTCAGACTTGCAGCTCGTCCGAACAGACTTTCAGTCTGTTTGGACAAAGGCCACATTTTGGGCCTTCTTCGTTTGCAGTCAGGCCCTTTCGGGCCAGGTTCGTGTTCGTCCAGTAGCAAACACTCCCCGCTGCATCAGCAGGGAGGGACTGGACGTCCGGTAGGGACCCAGGCAGGCCGTTCCCGGCCAGGACCAGAGGCACACCAGCAAGGCCCAGCGCTACATATAGCTGGGCCAGGCCAGGGCAGACACACAGTTCGAGTAGCTCACGTCTTGGGCAACACGCTGCTGGAGCACCGTGATACAGCGCTGCATTAGAGGTAGAGGAGTAGGTAGGTAGGRARSRGAGASASAGAGAGAGAGAGAGAGAGAGAGAGAGAGAGAGAGAGAGAGAGAGAGAGAGAGAGAGAGAGAGAGAGAGAGAGAGAGAGGCGTTGGCMAWACCTGCAGCGGCAGKGRTKAMMTGGACGCCATAGCTGGACTTCACACCAGCCACCTGCATCAGAGACATGCCGGCGGCAATTACCTGCAGGTGAGACAACGAGGAGGGCGACATCTTCTTCTTCTTGCTGTTCTCGCCCTCCATCTCCATCTCTTCTTCTTCTTTTTCTTCTTCTTCTTCTTCTTCTTCTTCTTCTTCTTCTTCTTCTTCTTTCAGAGAGAGAGAGAGAGAGAGAGAGAGAGAGAGAGAGAGAGAGAGAGAGAGAGAGAGAGAGGTTACAGGCAGAGGTTATATCGGGCCATGAGGCCCAGGATCTGATTCAACATTTTTGTGGCAGACATTGATTGGACATTCGGCAGGGAGACTATTTTTGGACTTGCTATCGCGACCTTGGTCTTCTCCCTTATCTCCATCTTCGTCTCGCCTTTTTCCCCATCTCCTCATCAGTGGTATCTTCCCATGTGTGTGCTCAACGAGGGACCTTTCTTCTATGTATGTGGTCCCTCCCCTCTCTCTCTCACATGTGTGGTGTATGATGGGGTGCCGCGTCTGTATCTGACAGGTCAGGTCATATCTTTCAGTCTTCCGCTGTGCTAAATTGTGCTATTTTCGTATGATGTACATTGCTTGTTGATGCTTTTCTGATGCTGCATTGTCCATTCGAGTCCGTTTCATCACTTTGCGGATCCTTGGCTCCATATACATCGCTCGATTGAGCATGCATCACATAGGCTAGCAAGACTATTCCCAAAGGGCGGTGAAGGAAAAAAACACCAGCAGCCAACCAGGCATTGAATAACAAGCAACAACAAGGCATATAGGCTGGAGGGCGTAGGGGAGGCAGGTGGGCAGATGTGGCATACGCTGATCCCATAGTGGCCCTTCAGGCCCACATGGTCCTATTTTTGGGGCCTTGGTACAGACCTGGGCTGTGGCAGCGTTTTTTCAGCCATCACAGGCCGCCTCAGCAATAAATAGATAGGAGAGACCTACGAATGTGTCCATCGTCAGATTGATTATTCGATTCCATTTTGTATTTATTGGCTTCTGGGTCCAGGTGTCTGTCTGAGTCCCACGGACTTTGTCTGTCCAGTTTGGTCTGAACCGGGTAGGTGTCAATTCAGCATTGGCGGGTCTAGGCCTTTTCAGGCCAGTAGTTGTCTGTAGGACCTACGGCCCTCCTCTTGGACTGAACCATAGTCTAGGTTCAGTCCACTTCGTCCGGTAGCAGATTTTCCTGGACTGAGATTCAGGCCTTGTGTTCCGAACGACCGATCGGATTTCCGATCGGGACGACCCAGCACACAGGTAGAAGGCTATCCTAGTAGGCCCAGCCCTATTTATAGCAGGGCCATGTACGAGTACGACGCAAACTGTTTTTGGGACACACTTCGACATGCTGCTGGGAGAGCAGTGTTGGCAGAGGAGGGTAGCGGTTGAGGCTACGGAGGCCGGGTGTGAGGCACGTACCTGCTGGCACCCATCGCTGTATCTCCATTGCTATGCATCGGGGCCCCTCACCACCTGCAGACATCAGAGAGAGAGAGAGAGAGAGAGAGAGAGAGAGAGAGAGAGAGAGAGAGAGAGAGAGAGAGAGAGAGAGAGAGAGAGAGAGAGAGAGAGAG